CGTAAGAATGTGTGCGTGCGCCAAGGTCAGGGTTGGCACGTGGGGAGGCCGACCCTACTTTTCCACCCTTTCTACAGCTGCCCGTCTTCTTACCTATTTATTATATAAAACATTTTTATTATTATACTTAACGTTGCTTAAGCTAGCTACGGTTTCGTTAAGTTAATAAATTATATTTAAAATAGTTTGTTGCGTATTTGAGACAGTGTAGAATAAAACTTTGTATTAAACATTACTACATACGAATTCTTGTATTTAAAAAAGCAATAAAAATTGAATTATCATAAAAATATTCTTGACGCAAATGATGACGTCATAACTTATTGTTTCATAATCGATTTAATACACTCATGTTTATAGCATCTGAACCCCTATTTATAAAATACCTACTTAAAACGTTAAATTACTAGTATAGATTAAAAGTATGATATTTAAATTTGCATACATTTTTGTCAAGACCAAAATGTATAGGCATGTCAAATTGAATACATCTTTTCAGAATAAATCTTTTAAGTAACGTTGTCTCGTTTTATCCCAGCGTAAACACAGGATTTTAGAAAGAGACGAACACATTAAGTTTGTTCAGAACTTAGATCATATTAAAGAATATGGTGGCAACATGTTGACTTTACCAATAGTGTTATTACTTATTATTCATAAAATATATAATTATTAGAGCCGTGTAACGATATTTTCATCTTTTCGAAATGTAACTATTAACAGACATGTCGAGTCTGCCTATCCTAGTGTTGTAAAGCATTCGAAACATCCATTTAGATTACAATGTAATCAATTTACGTTTTAGTCCGTTAAATATATAAATACTTATAATAATTTTAGCAAGTATTGTAGTGACATCTTGAATTGTGAAATGTCTATGGTAAGCTTGGGGGAAAGTTAAAATTAACTTAGTTCTGTAACTGTTACATAGGTGGCACTGCAAACACTGTAAGCATGTTAACGGAAGCAATAGATGGCGCTACTAAACAAATGTTATCAAATTTTCCCTTTATTGTAATTTCAAATTAATACTGATGGACTGCGTAATTAAGTGATTATAAAATGATGTTTGATTACACATTTATAAGAGATATGTCGTTTAATAAATGAAGTAAATGTTCGTTTGAGACAAATTGCTCGCATTTTAATTGTTTAACTTATCTAACTGAATGTTATTACACGAGAATTAAGGCCATACATATTGAACACGGCAAAGAACAGAATTCATTTCCTAAGGTCTGTTTCCTGTGCTGTGAAAAGAAGATAAGAAGACGGGGCTATCGAACAACCGGGTGCCACGCTGTGCTCTCTCGGGATAGATGCGAGTGAACACAGCTGGTGGTATCTCAGTTGTTCCTTAGTTCACTCCGCTCAGCTCATCAATGAACCCTTGAAAACGGAAGACATCAGATAATTGAGGAGATGGCAGTTTTGTCCTTACGACTCTACTATAAGAATGTGAAAAATGAAGTTAGACAAGACAAAATTGTATTAATTTTTCTTTTAAATTAGTAAAATTTTAATCATCTTAATGCAATAATTATAAATTTATGATTGATGTTAACTTAAGTATGTTTATTTATTTATTTATTGAAGTTTACCACATCATACATACTATATTACGGTATATGTTACAACCTCTTTTATCTAAAACAATACAATAAAAATATATAAAATAAAATAAAAATACTAGCCATATTTGTTAAGCAGAATAAAATATATTAGAATGTATTTATAAATTGATAACATTATATTGAATGGGTTTAAATCAATTATGAAACAGTTAATAAAACATCGAGTAATACAAACATGATTTATTCAACATTGTTCAAAAGCCGCCCGCGCAAATAAGTCTACCTCAGATTAGGGTAAAAACCGCCTTCACCGGAGAAGGCGTGGACCTTTACTTTGTACTTCGCTGACTCCAGTGAGCTTCCGTCCTGCCCTTCAGGCGATTGACCACCCCGCGACGGCCCAAGCCGAGGTCCGAGTCTCGCAGGAGACGCCCTTGCGCTAGTCGCAGGAAAACGCCCATTCCGGCCGATCTACGCTCGCCAAAACAGCCCGATCTGAGCTGTAAAGGCCCTTAAGGCCGAGCGAGATTCCATTCAAGCCAATTAACTGTTCAATTATCAAGAAGCTATATTGTCATTGACGCAATAATGTAAGTGTACATTATAAATTATAATTAAGTTATTAATGAAATGGTGCACGCAGTGCTAACGGGAAATTGTCGTAACTTATAAGTGAAAGTATGTGCGTTTACTGCCTTCATTGAGTAAAGATTTTATTTTCGTTTTATTAACATTAACTTGTAGTAAAAATCTTATAATATGATTATAACTCTATTCTTTTATAAGTCAGAAAATCACATGTATCGGTCGGTAATAAAATAATTTGTAGAAACAATCAAATAGAAATTGAATTAGTCAAATACTTTGAATTTAAATTAAATTTGACTTCCGACATATTATATCGGAATGAAGTTCTAGTTCAACTTGCGTAATTCCTAATTAATGTGTTTTAAATGTAAAGTACCTACTCATTATTGTCACTAACGTTCATTTATTTTCTAAACGTCATAAGTCAAACTATGTCTTTGAAACTGATACGAATTCTAAATTAATAATTATTATCATTTCACGTTTCCAAAAATGTTGTGAAATTCTTAAGATAAAGGAATTTTGAAAAACTAATGGATTTTTTTAAAGATTATTGATTTTGATTCTGTTTGATTCTGTTATAGTGAAATAACATAACGATTATTTATATTACTAGATCAAGAATATATTTAATTAAAGTGTCGAAGCCCTACGATTTGTTTAAATTTTATTAAAAGGAAAACTCTTCGCAAAACCAATTCTAGTGAAAGTTGTTATGAGAACTTGTAACACATTTCAAGTTGATGTAAATACCGTAAGTTGAATTATATTTACGTATAGTTATAGGCTGTGAAAGACCGATAGGGTTTTTAGAATCTGTGTAACGGAGTCTGTCTTCAAGGCTATGAAAATGCAGTATGGAAATTAGTTCCGGAAGGAGGAGATGGTCTCCGAACCCAACATCATGCTAGACTGAGAGGGAATGGGAGAATCCTGTCCAGAAGGCATATATCGGAATACGGTCCAGATATCGCTGGAAAGTCGCCGTAGACTTGCGCGAGTTCTTTGTCACCAATTGGCAAACAGCAGTGGAAGATCGAAGGGCGTTCTCTTCTCTCGGAGGGCAAAATTCACGTCACGTTAGGACAGCGGACTAAATGTACTCATAGATTCAGAGTTAAACCAATTTAACTATAACTTTAAAAAAAACTATAAGCAGACTAGAGGTTTTGTTATATGCTCTATCATCTATAGTTTATAGAAGTTGAGTATTTTGGATATTACGTCTTAAACGCTTTCGTTACAAAAATGTCCATGTTTTACAACTGATAATTTCTTTTATGCCTAGAAAGATATGATGCCTATTTTTATAAACGCCTAGAAAATATGAACGTATGTATATGTTAAAACATAGGTTCTTTTTTTGGTATTTTTAATCAACGAGTGATGGTGAAAATTGCTATTGCTTGAAATCCTTAGATAAGGTTTTCGTGGAACACGGAAAATTTGTTGTACACTTGTTGTAAATTTAAACACATGCTTGTTTAAATTTAATTTAAGGTAACATTTAAATAAAAGTATATAAACTGGAATTTATTATATACTCAATGCCTCAATGCTTTACTTAACAGAGAGACGATCTAATGTTTTATTTAAATAAATTAAATAAAAGCGAAAAACGATATATGATATCAATATTAGTGGTAAATGATAACGTCAGAATATGGCGCTGTCCATTCTAGTTCTATGCAATACACATAAACATTACTATAAGTATTAAAATGAAAGTATACTTGATAAATATTTATATTTGACTAGCTGTGCCTTACGGGTTTACCGGCGTTGATACCGTCGTAGCGTCATTATATAAATAGACGTTAGACATTCCTTAATAAATGGATTAATAACAATCCTCAATGTATCTAACACATATTAATTAACGTTTTAATTGATGCTCCATTCCACTCATAATCCTATGTTACTCGCCGAGAGAGAGAAGTAGTAGAGTTTATCTATTAAAAAAAAAAAAATTCTCTATAAAACAAATTTTAGTTACCAAAATGTATCTTTAATTAACATATATTGTATCTTGGCGCCTTCGAGTCTAAATAACTTTGGCTGGGGGCTCACTGAGCACAATTGGCGTGCCAGTTCTGCTTCTTGCATGCCAAGTGTCGCTGGCACAGCCCTTGTTGCATAAACGAATTTACTGCAAGGGCAGGTCGAGGTGACGAAACACTTTAGCACTGGCCCAGTCACTCCTCGCTTCTTTTTCTTTTCCTGTTGCATTTTGCGCTCAAAGTGAGTGGAAAAGAAAGAAATCGTTGCTTCACTGTGGGATTTCAAAGACACTTAAATTCATATAAAAGTTGTTTATTGTGTTTTTTATTTTTATAGAACAGCAAACGGGCAGAAGGCTCATCTGATGTTAAGTGATACCGCCGCCTATGGACACAATGCCAGAGGGCGCGCGAGTGCGTTGCCGGCCTATTATACAGTATATAGAGAACAAGTCAAAAGTACTTAGAACAACCAAATTAAATATTTTATTTTATTTTCGCATTAAGGAAAATGAATAAGTTATTACAGAAGTGTTTCTTAGTATTTAATAACTATATTTTATATTATAAGATATTACATAATATTTTGCAAAAAGGATAGACCCTTTAAGGTGCTACGCCGTAGCAGCGTAGAGTATACCCTGATCTGACCAAAACGAATGTGTTATAACTTAGAAATATAAAAAAACATATAGATTACAAAATTCGGCGCTTATCTCTTGATAATTTCTGTTTTGTTTCTGCTCTTACTATTTTAACTTACACATTTATATATAAAACTATTGTCCTTTTCAAAAAATAATATTCAAAGCAGCTTTGATACGTACAAAGGTACCTACTAGAATATTCTCGTCCGCGGAGCTAAAAGGCAAAAGTTCAAGGACGTCGGGAACCATGTAGCAACAGCTGGATCGATAAAGGCTCCGATAGAGCTCTCCATATTACCATGACGACCTGCAGCCCTGACCTGGAGGGGGGAGGGGGTGCATCGAGCGGCCGGGCTGCATCTAGCAGTTATTTCGGTGCAGCTCGGACGCCGCAGTCGTTCTCCGCGCCTCGCATCGCGCGCGCGTTTCAAACCGACGCCAGTATCCGCCCCCGTACACTCTGCTATACATATACGTGTTCTTTCTAATAGTTCTTCGATAATTTATTTTTCTAACGCTCGAAGTGTTGACGCACCTGTTGCGCGAGGTGAAACCGCGTGGAAAACTCTTTTTCTCGACGGACGCGACCACTTTCACCGTTCATATTCCGCGCCTACGTCGCACTAAACCCGTCTATGCCACGCTAACTTAAATCAATTATACCGCCTTTACTTATTCGTTACGGTGCGTAAGGTATTGTATTTAACTAGAGCTCTAGAATCAATAATGTTCTATTGTATCTGACGGCCTAAATGTGCCACGCAAGATAACTCATATCTAATTACCAGTGATTAAAATAAACATCTGTTTTAATCTTCGCTCATAGTTGCCAATGCAGTTGTCACGTTATGCAAGGTCTGATGCGTTAAGAATGTGTGCTGATAATTTAAGGTGTTGTGGAGAGATGCTGGCAATTGGCCAGGGATGCAGCCCTGAAGGTCGCGCATCTGCGGGGCGAGGGGGGGGACAATGTATGACTGTAATGCGCAGGTACACTGTATCCGGGCTAGGTCTGTAATTGATCATCGATCGGGTGCATAGTTTGAAGTACCTCCTCCTCCTACCTCCTCCTCCTACCTCCTACCTCCTCCTCCTCCTCCTCCTCCTCCTCCTCCTCCTACCGCCTCCGTGAAAGTGGAATTCCCAGGATTTTCAAGGTCTATAATAATTATCTTTATATATTTCCTTGAGATATGATATATGCATATCAAAACAAGGCAGATAAATGTGTACCAATCATACTCATACAGAACATTGCCTTATTGAGGCTGTATCCGAAAATGTTTACAACATTATCCGAAATCGTACCAATTTCCCTTGACCGTTTGCCCTTTGATACCTCCAGTTTTGTTTACCGTTTCCAAATAGACAGCTATCACTTTCATCTCGGGAACTCGTATTCGAGCATCTCGGTTGCGAAACGCATAACACAAGACTTTCACTGGCGGGTCCGTTGACCGTGGCTCGACTTTCTAAATGTCGTAACTCGCAATTGTAATTCGTGATACGCCTCGCCGATACACGCGATGTCATTACCTTTTTTGCGCCAAATCCGTAGAAAGTTTAAAGAATTTCGACAAAACTTCCTTGTAACGCGAATATTGCACTTGCAATTTGTAATAATTTTTTACTTATAAATAGTATTACATTAGAATTATTATCTACAGTTCCATACTACAATCAGAACTAAATCATTGCTTTTACTTTGTTGTCGCTGCCCCTCAATTGGATTTTAAATATTAAATTTAATTTAATATCTACTAGGTTAAAAATAAAGTCACTAAATTACCCCAGAATCTATTGTGTATTTTAAGTTATAAAATCATGTAACTTCATTATGTAGACCCGTCCCGAGTTGAGCTAAAGTCGGTTTTATTTTTCACTATCTATGAAGGTGTTTGTTCAATCTTTATTTAAATCCCATTCCTTAGTCTTATATATCTTGGAGATTTTCAATTCTCAAAGAACCAAATCTCGTATCTGTTGAGATATCTCTATGAAAACCCTTACAAACGGTATATATTCGCCTCCCAGTAAAACGCTCAATGCAACAGGCGTTGGCAAGCCACCTGTGGAATGTAAACCTTCGCTAGAACTGTGAGGTCGTTCCTTTCTTTTCCCATAGCAAATTGTAATCAAACGTTTCGCGAAGTCTTAAGTGTTGCCATTCGTTTCCGTAAGAATACAAATATAAATTAAAATATAGTCGTGATATTGGCAACATCCTGCAACGTAATCTATGTTTCCATCCATAGATTTGATTGTGCTTATTATATATATTTCAATGTATAATATATTAATGATGTGTCTAGGGTAAGATTTAGCAGAGACTTGGGACTTATTATTATTTTTGATATAGGCTAGTATATAATATAAATTACCTTAAAGTACATAAGGCTACATAAACTTCTTTAAAGGATATTGCAAATTTATTCTCCCGTTGACTACGATTGCTATAAATTGTTTTATAAATATAGTAAAATACTTGATATTACTAACCGAACATTAAATCTATCTGTTAGGTATCACAGCGACCCTGACCGGTCGTCCTAGGTTGCCTAGCCGCGTCCTTGGGCATAGTGCCAACCCCTCCCCGCACACAGGAAGTCGCCCATATTGCCAATATAGCCATCAATAGATCAATAAACGAACATTCCTTATTAATGAGCCTTGATATAGGATGAACATGTCGAATCATACAATTCCATTGCAAAACTATTATTTAAAAAACAATTTATTTTACCTATTTATTTATTTTGGAACCAATTATATTTTATACATATTTACAGAATATAGTTAATGAACATACAAAATAAATCGCAACACTTTCATAGATAGTTAAAAATAAAACTGACTTTAGCTCAATGGGTCGACATTATGAAGTTAAATGACGACGTTAAAAACACAATATTTTACTGACTTTATTTTTAACCAAGTAGATATTAAAAAATAATAATAATTAAAATCGAGGGGCAGCTACAACAGAATCAGAGTAAACGTTCTGATCAAATTATTTAAGATTTCTGTATTATAATTACAAGTTTGTATTGTGCAGAATGAAACACACAAATGTAATTTACATTTTCATCTAATATTAGATGTAAATGCAATACGTCCGGCATTTGTTTGAGCTAAGGTGCATGATCGCTGTTTGAGCTGGTGGGACAAACTCGTGACTCAGCCGACCTTGGATGAAAATTCACCTATTCTAGGTTTTATTGGTTCACTGGCCAACTGCCGAGGTCGCTTCATGAATTCAATAAATCCGACTGCATTCAGATTGACGATAAAATATTGGAGATATTAGTTATTTTTATTACTTTAGGTTACTAAAGGTTAATTTCTTTTTTTAATATGTTTGTTTTGCGATGTTTTCGCGTATCTTCGTGGGCTGGCCGTCGAAATGGGGCATCTATTTGTGGAGATCGAGGCCCGCGGCGACATTATTGTAACATGCCTTACGCACTGTTCTAAATACTACATTAGCGGTTATAAAACGTTATTTTCAGCTCTATAATAACCTTCTCAGTATAGAAATAGCAGAGTGTACGATAACCTAGTTACTGTTGCATCGCGATGCGTGCGTTTATCTACGAACAGCAAAAACGTTCACTGCGTCGATTACGTACGTTTAGGATGAAAGCGATGGAAAGTAAGCGTGAAGTGATGCAGAGAAACTGCAGAGTGGCGCGACAGGTGTCTATAGATCGTTGCGACAGTTCGGCCCCGTTGGCAGTATCCGAAGCAGGCTGCGTATTTGAAGCCGGCTCGCTGCAGTGGCTTTGCGAAACCGGCGGTTATGCAAGGCGCGCCGATGCCAACTCGCAGGCGCTCGTGGCCGCGCCGGAAGGAAAAGTGGAACGAGCCGCAGTGAGGCGGGCGCGCGCGCCGCTTCCACACGCCCGTTGTCCCAGTCGAGTGCCCAGTGTCGTGTAGTGTCGCTTCTAGAACGTTGAATTGTGTTGCGCAAGTCCTACGCCTACAGTGGGATTATTTTAAACTAGATAATAAGACCTCGCTCCGACGTGTCAACCCCTCGGCGCTGATGGCACGTGCAAAATAACGCGATCACGTGTCTCCACCCTTCAATCATAAATCCCGCGATACAAACACCTAATCAATCCGTGAATAACAAAATCTTAAGCAATTGAATTAAAAAGTCTAATTTGCTACTGTATGCGTAGGTATCCATGTAAACGAATATATTACCATTCGGCATTAGGAAACGCTACAATTAGTTACTTTAACGGAAAGTGTTCTTCAGAGCGTGGTAACTTCCTGAGATTATTCGTTTCGTTTCGCGTACCGGACTTTCGAATACCACTAAATCAAATACATACTGACAAATGTAATATATTGTTGCTATATTATAGTTAGGCAACTGACAAGTCGTGAATAATCATTGTTGAAAGGTCCCACGCGAATAGTCACATAAACCTCTATCCATGTACTCAAGGACGTTTTAATAGTGTACAATGGCAATCAAGCCATAATTTATCATGTGCCTCGTGTCATTGCACAATGCAGCTTATCTAGCGGGAGCCTAACAATTATTTGTCCTACTTTCTCGTTGGGAACAGTGGCCGCAGTTGATAGATTGGGACGTCAAAATTTACGATTAATCGAAGTATAGGTACTTAGGAATCGCAATGATAAATAGCGATAAATAATTGCAACGAATGCAACAGGACGTTATGCATCAATGCGTCATTCTTGTGCAGTCGCTTTGCGTTGGCGGCAGTGACTGCTCTTATGCAGGTACTACATTGACATCATCATAGACCTGGATATCAAGTCTGTTAATCGAATGATTATTCGAAAAAATTCTGGGATTAATCCAATCTCACGTGCTACAAATTAAAATTTGATTCATCAATATAATTTGAACAATAGATTCCAAAAAAAATCTTATTAGTTAGTAATTTAAATTAGTTATACGTTGTTTAGGTAATACTTTATAATGGCAGTGATAAATCATGATGGATTAGGTATTAAAATCGAGAGGCTAGAATGTAATAAATCTATTATTTTATCCGATGGAGGGCTATGTCAGAGTCTACAAGGCCGTAAGCGTGACCCACTTACGTTCACCTTTATTTAACTGAAGCCACGCGAATTTCAACTTAATTACCATTAGGATGATATTCGATATTCCTAGGAATACGTTATTTATACAAATATAATGAAAATAATTATCTATTTTACAAAAGCTTTGTTCATTGATTGGGATGAATTTATTTCAAAAGAAAATCAGCCCGTTCAAAGAAAACTATTATATTTTAGTTGTCCTGAATTGTATTTTCCTTCAAGAAATGCATTGATATCGCAAACATTATATGTACTTATCATATTTATTGTATTTGTACACGTGTAGATTCAACATGATTTCCACTTTACGTCATAAGGAAATCGCAATAATTGTATCTAATTACTGTTATTTTACATCTAAATTTGCGACTGAATAATGTCTTTAAAGTCAAATAAATAGAACTGCCTGAAATCACAACGCTATTATTAGTACATATGTATTTAGTTTGCACTTAGTTGCATAATGCATGTAACTAATTCCACAAAGCGTTTTCCCCATGATGTTTTTCATTGCAATTCACGATGACATCATTCTTCGTACGTAGATGATACTTAGATTTTATGTTATTGCATCAATAATTATCGTCAGTCTTATATTTTAAATTAATGAATTTATTTCGTACGTTTCGGGTAAAATCATGAAAGTTATATCGCGAGCTAATTTAGCCCACCTTTGTTGAAATGTCACGCTCTCTCTGCACTTTCCAAATAACAAACTTTCAAATACACATGTTCTTTTAACATTATGGCGTCGATGCGACATGGACACGTGATAAATCTACACGTTGAATGCATAATTATAATCAATAATTAATCTGACAAGCGACGCGTTAATAAAATACTAATTATTGTAACTCACGACGTGATATAATTTTAAATGCACTAACACAAGCTTCATCATAGTGATCTAACATAGAGGACAGTAAGTGATAAGGGAGGACGTTCCATAGACTCGTAGTGTTGCGCCTAGTGAAGTCTCGATATCGAAGTTTGTACGCTCCGGGGTTCGTGCCAGGAGTGCGTTTGCAACGCACGCGCCAAGTTTGCGTTTATGCAAAGTTGATTTTGTAAATGCACTATCTGGTACGACACCCAGGGGCGTGATGCATCGCATAAGATCAACCGTTCGGAACACCAAACAGTTTTAACTGTTACGAACTCTTAAGTGACTTTTAGTTTAATTTTATTTATATCTGTACTTGTATGTAGACTTGTTGTATTTTACCAACGAATTTATTATAATTTATATTTATTTATTCGTGTATTTAAGTTTGATGTACAATGTTTATTTGTGATTTTTTGTGCCAATTTTGTCTTTATTATATTGATGGTTTATTATACTGCTTTATTTTATTTTCATTTGTTTTATTTATATTTCACTGTACTTTTAATTAGTGGTGAACGGGTGATCTGTTTATTGCGAAATTTAAAACATTACCAGAGAGAGACACCAAGTATCGTTATGAACAGGTATCATAAATATTATATATATGTACATAGCAAAACAAAAGTATCGCTTATTGTGTAGAAAGGTGGAAATGTTATTTTATAACATTTTGCAACTAGCAAATTACATTAAAGAGATCAGTAATTTATCTTACATATAGTAAAAAATCTTGCCAATATTCCTCTAATAGTACTTTTTGATATATATTTCAAATCTAGGTCAATTGATTCGATAGATCAAATCTGATTCTACTATATTGCATCAAGTGACATTTAGATGTATGTTGAGATCAAACAGCTGACGGCGAGAAATGTTGGCGTGTAGTTAGTTGCAGACCACAGATGCAGTCATGTTCCAGATAGATGCACATTGTTGCAATCTATTCGTGCCGTGCAATAACCATATTATAAGTTAGGTCAAATATAATATATTTAGTCTCGCGTTTAAGGTCTGTATCGACATTTTCACAACACTTAGCGATTAATTGAGCGTAATTAATATTAATTAATTATCATCTAGATATAGGCCGGCAGGAACTCATATTGAATAATGTAGATATAATAGTGTATGTTAACATAAGGCTGATTATGGTATTAACGCCCTTTCAGGCCGAGCTACGCTCACCAAAACAGCCCAAGCTGAGCTGTAAAGTCCCTTAAGGTCAACAGCGAAATGAAAAAAATATGATTATGGTATCACTTTGACCGTATGTATGGGTGCTATGCAGATTTATTTCGTTGCAGTAATAACTTCTGCAAAAACCAACCTAGGAGTTCAGGCACCTCTCTTTCGAATTCTTAGCGATTTTAACGGATTAAACAGTACTTATCCGGAGCTGGATATATTCGGTAGTGGGCTGATCGGTTTTAAAGAAAGCATTGTTAAGTGCCTATCTCATACCTAATCCTCTGTTTTACTGGTCATTTTTTTGCTTAAAAAACAAAAATTACAAGTATTTTTATTGTATGTTATATAATATATATTGTTATTGTAACATTTATGTTTACCAAAAATGTCAAATGTTTTAGAAAAGATAGCTTGTAACATATACTGTAGATTTACTACTATACTCGTATATGATGTGGTAAAGTTTAATAAATAAATAAGTACAATTTAAATAATTAAATAAAAAGGACAACACCTTATAGAACCTACAAAAATCAGCTTATAGTTCTGGAATTTTCAGAATCGATATTTCAATACCTACTTATCGGAGAATTGAAAAGGTTTGAGGTGTAATGTAAGCCTTTACATTGCAGTTTATTATTGGATAAAACAAGCCGGTATGCCAGTGGGTCAAGTATACTGTGTGTAAGAAACCTTATGCAGTAATCTCATTTTACAACAACTTACAATTATAAAACCACACAAATATCACTCATGGTTAATATGTTCCCGATTTGTTTTACCCTACATTTGGACAGGTTTCATTTCTAACGTGTGTAGGAATTGTTCACGCCTAACTAAATATATGCAGACTAAATTGGCAGAGAACTAAATATATGTGTAAATAAAATAACTTTTAATTTACTTATTTAAAAAAAAAAATATTTACTTTGAATTTCCTGACAGGATAAAACATTTATGACGAGAGAAATGTCAATGTCAAATATCCGAATTTGACATACGTTTGTAGAGTATATATGTAGGGAAATCTCCTATTTGAAATAAGATTATACCTATACTCGAAAAGGTACTTTATATATACAGAGTTTAATAAATCGGAACATTTTTAAAATTAATAAAACGTGAAAATTAGTGAATAAATATTGTCGATATCATTAATTAGGGTGAGGAGTTATATAGTACTAATTTGAAACAAAAATATTATTACTAATTAATTAGGTGTCCCTAGAACTGACACAGACTACACTTTGTGACAACAGCAGAGAAAATCAGCATTCCACATTATAATTATGCTGGTTTCACGACAATAATTTGGGGAAATGTAATACCTAAGTACTGAATAATAGTACTGAGGTTAAAAATAAAATTTTCAGTGTTCTGTGTTGTTTTATTTATGAGTTCTCCAATGAGCATTGTAAAATTGTTTGTGAATATTTTATTCACATTCTTGTCTATCGATTGTGTTTACGCTGTGTTGGAAAGGGACAGACTACTATTTATACAATGTAAACAGATTTATTAAGTTATTGTGAACGGCGTTAAAAACTAGTAAAAATAAATACTTATTGGACTAAAACGCATATGTTTACATATTTTTTAGTTTAATTTCTGTTAATATACGAAAAATATTTCTTTGGTTATTATTTAAAATATAATAATACGATAAAAAATAATATAGGAATATAAAAACTGATGGTTTTATACTAGAACCTAGAATTTAGTTTGATAAACATTTTAGACTTTTCTTTATTCAGATCTTCGCTATTCAGGAAAG